TCTTGCTTTGTTGCCCAGGATGGGTCTCAAACTCCTGGCCTTAAGCAATCTTCCCACCTCAGCCTCCCAAAGTGCTGGGATTGCAGGCATCAGCTGCGGTGCCTGGCCTTGAAATATTTTTATTTGGCAAAAGAAAACGCTGCCAATTTTGTATCAGTCTTATATACTTTTCGTTCTGCTCATGCCTGTCCTGTGTACTCAGCCAAAGGGCACTGAGAATCTGTGGTCTAGATTGTTGGAATTTTGATCCTTTTATCTGGGCACTGCCCTATCTAGCCCAGAGTGCAAGATGCCTGTTTTGTGTCCTGGCCTACCCCCTCAGGTAGGGAGCCGTATTTCCCTGCCCCCGAAGGCAGAGAGCTGTATTTCCCCACCACGTGGCAGCAGAGGGGGGTGGGGCACACATGACCACTCCATTTGTTTCACACCTCCAAGGAGTGTGAGCCCTGCAGAGCCTCAGGGCTTCGCCCCCCATAGCCAGGCCATCACACCACAGGAGTCTCAGGAGTCCACCGCTGCTTGCAGAGACCCAGCATTGAAATGCGACCTGCTGGGGAAATGTGGGTGGAGCATCCAGTATTTGCAAGACCCATGCTAGGCACAGGGAGAAACCGAAACAGAAATCCACAAGGTCCCTGCCTGTTGGAACCTATCACACCACTGGACAAAAAAAGATGATTATCCCAACATTCAAAAACAACGGGAGGCAAAAAATTATAAATACCAACCAAGTAAAAATCATAGATGGAAAATATGACTTTTTAAAAGTTGGGAAATAGGCCAGATGCAGTGGCTCATGCCTGTAATCTCAGCATTTTGGGAGGCCAAGGCAGGCGAATCGCTTGAGTATGGGAGTTCAAGAACAGCCTGAGCAACATAGCGAAACCTCATCTCTGCAAAAAATACAAAAATTAGCCTGATGTGGTGGTGCGCGCCTGCAGTCCCAGCTACTCAGGAGGCTGAGGCAGGAGAATTGCTTGAACCCAGGAGGTGGAGGTTGCGGTGAGCTGAGATCGTACTGCTGCACTCCAGCCTGGACGACAGAGCAAGACTCTGTCTCAAAAAAAAAGAAGAAGAAGAAGAAGATGGTGGCGGTAAAGAGAATATTCTGAAGTGGCACTGCTGGCTCGACCTCTCACTAACTGTGGGACTGCCCCATGGGCTGGTCTTTTTATCTGTCGAATGGGAATAATCAGTGTGCCTACTTCATGCAGTTGTTAGGAAGATTAGAGGGCTGAGCATATAATAAACACTCATGAAATGCCAGCTTTTGTCCTCATTCTGGACAAGGCGACATTTAAGAAGGAAAATGTAAGGCATGCTTAGAAAATAACGAGTCATTCCTTCTGGCTAGAAAGAAAAAATAAGGTTAATCCAAGTGCATTACAAGAGAGGAGCTTAGACATCTAGGGAGAAAACTGTAAACACATGGAAGGCAAAGATAAACTGGTGTGCAGAGGCCACCCCCATGCTGGCTTTCAGGAAGGATGTGGCCGAGGTGACAGTAGGGCCTTTGGTCAGACTATGTGTGGGAAGCTGGAAACATTCCTCTGGGGACAAGGAGCAAGGCTAATGTCAGAGAGAGAGGGACGCTGGAGCGTCTTGGGAGCTGCCGCTTCTGCTGCATTGTGGATGCTCGGATGTGTGTGTCAGTGAATGAGTGAATGAGAACAGTGGATATGGGTGAGATCCTTGGGAGGGAAGAACTGGGTCACAGTGATACTGTACCAGGACACCAGCCCCTGCAGACCCCTGGAAATTCCCCTTCCTGATCTCATTTCCCAGGCTTTCCTGGTTTTCCACTGCCTCCTGCTCTCCCGTCCATCATCCCAGTCTCCATTACATGTCTTCTGGGGCACTCCAGGGAACAGGTCTGCAGGCCCAGATCACCTTTGAGACCTTGCCAGCTCTCCATGACTGCCAACAGCAGCAGTCCATAAAGAAAGCGTCCAGGCGAGGCGTGGTGGCTCACGCCTGTAATCCCACCACGTTGGGAGGCTGAGGCGGGCAGATCATTTGAGCTCAGGAGTTCAAGACCAGCCTGGGCAATACAGTAAAACCCTGTCTCCAAAAAAAGAAAAAAAAATACAAAAATTAGCCTGACATGGTGACACATGGTGACTCTAGTACCAGCTACTCAGGAGGCTGAGGTGGGAGGCTCATGAGCCCAGGAGGTCAAGACTGCAGTGAACCAAGATCATGCCACTGCACTCCAGCCTGAGTGAGAGAGTGATACTGTCTCAAAAAAAAAAAGCATCCAGTGGCCATAGGCTGCATGAATGAGCTGCGTAGTGTGCTTGCCAAAAGGGAGGAACATGGGCCAACCAGCGTGCTTCGGGACTCCACTGTGTCCTAAGAGAGTCCTGGGGAAAACAGACGGCAGGGACTGGGAGTAGGGGCTGTTCTCAAATATTGTATGATGTGCTGTAAAATCCACTTTTCTTTGTCCTCAAGAGAGCATGAGATATTTACACACACACACACACACACACACACACACACACGCGGCTGCTCAGTTGCCATGATTAGGAACAGGGTGTTATGGAAGACAGAGGCACAAGCCCTGCTGGGTTCTGCGCTGGTCCCATCACACCTTGCCTTGGGCCAGGAACATGGGCCAACTAGCGTGCTTCGGGACTCCACTGTGTCCTAAGAGAGTCCTGGGGAAAACAGACGGCAGGGACTGGGAGTAGGGGCTGTTCTCAAATATGTACAGGCCCCTCAGGTGAAAGAGAAGAGGCCCATGCAGCCCTAGAGGGAGCGGGAGTGACACATGGAAGGCCGGAGGCAGTTGGCTGAACGTGAAGGGGCTTTTCCAAGGACTGCAAGCGGGGGTTGGATACATGAGGGCTTTGCATTCAGAGCGGTAGATGATGAGACAGACGCCCTCTCTTCTGCTTCCGGTGGTGGTTTAGGTGGATGTTCCCAAAACAGATCTGTGCCTTCCACCCTCAGACGTCTGAAAAGTGTAGCATAAACAAAAACATTAATAGTACTAGGCATGGTAAGCTCTTCCCTGCTAAGATGAGCCTTGAGTTTTGCTAGGAGAGGCAGATGGGGTTGCGATGAGTGGGATTGTGGGTACAGAGGAGCCAGCCGCCCTACTTAAGGAAGCACTTGAGTGACCTGGAGAAAGCCACCCAGGAGGAAGGAAGTCAGTGGCTCACTGGGGCAGGGTGGTGAGGTGTGGGGACGGCACACCCTGGGGTATTTTGATGTTAAACGGAATTGGAAGGATTATTGAGCTGCTGTCATGGGAATCAGAAGGACATTTATATTGGCTATTTAGGGTATTTCCTTGTATGATGTGCTGTAAAATCCACTTTTCTTTGTCCTCAAGAGAGCATGAGATATTTATACACACACACACACACACACACACATAAATTTTTTAAATCAGGTGTTGGCCCAGCATGGTGGCTCACCCAGCACTTTGGGAGGCGAAAGTGGGTGGATCACCTGAGGTCAAGACCAGTCTGGGCAATATGGCAAAACTCCAACTCTATTAAAAATACAAAAACTAGCCGAGCATGGTCATGTTCGCCTGCAGTCCCAGCTACTTGGGAGGCTGAGGTGGGAGGATGGCTTAGGCCCAGGAGACAGAGGTAGCTGTGGGCCATTGCACTCCAGCCTGAGTGGCAGAGCAAGAGCCTGTGTCAAAAAATAAACAAAAAAATGTCAGGGATTAGCTTGGTGATACAGACTAAATATGCTAAGACACAGACCAAGATAGGACCGCAAAAGCCGACTTTTACTTGGGTTACATGTGGGTTTTCCCATAAAATGCCAAAACAGTCACTGTCACCATCAGGTTCTCTTGGGTCCATTTGGAAATGAAATGTACAAGTCATGACAGTAGCCTCTTGGCCACTTGCCAATGCCCAGCCTCCCAGCTCCTGTCCATGACCACCAGCACCATGGTTTCCTTCAGTCACAAGGACACAGAGCAGGCAAGCACTCTCCCCGCCCCTCCTGTAGGACAACGTGGGTTTCACTTACGTGCCAGCCTGCTCGCTCTGGCCTCACCCTGCATGACGTCAGAGCTGGCTGGGGCTGTGTGTTTTTCCTAGCACATCCCATTTCCCTCTGACCTTACCTCTTTGCAAGTTTGATTTAACCTTGAGTCCACTTGGGCACTACTCTGCCAATCCCATCCCATGTGTGGCTGCTGACTGACTGGCACCAGGCACTGCTGCAGGGACAGCCTCTCTCGTTCCCTGCTGCCTTTCTTTCTTGTGGGCATGTGGCCCTAGAAGCCACAGCCTGTGACTCACCAGTGTGGACCCTTGAGCCCCATCAGGTGCCCTGGGCGCTACCCCGGGACTCCCTTTGCCAGGTCCCTGCCAGGGACCTGAAGGAGGACTGGCAGGGACTCCTTTCCTGGGGGAGTCCCACTAAGCACGCTCCTTTCCCTGCAGTCTCTCCACTAGCTCACTTCCTCTCCTAGATCTTTCTGCCTCTTTTGTTTATGTAGAAATAATAACAATTATTATTATTTGAGATGGAGTCTCACTCTGTCACCCAGGCTGGAGTGCAGTGGTGCAATCTCAGCTCATTGCAACCTCTGCCTCCCACGTTCAAGTGATTCTCCTGCCTCAGCCTCCTGAGTAGCTGGGATTACAGGTGTGTGCCACCAAACCTGGCTAATTTTTTTGTATTTTTAGTAGAGACGGGGTTTCACCATGTTAGCCAGGCTGGTCTCGAACTCCTGACCTCAGGTAATCTACCCGCCTCAGGCTCCCAAAGTGCTGGGATTACAGGCGTGAGCCACCGCGCCTAGCCAGAAATTAATTTTTAAGAGAGATGTAAAATACAGAGAATAATAAAGCCCACATCAGGGTCTCTCTGCTTTCAGAAGTACCCAGTGTCCTTGATCTCCACCACCCTGCCCCACCCACGGGGCTCTCACCACTCCTGGCTGCCTCTTCCTGGGGGAGCTTGGGGCTCTGTCCTCTTCCCCCACCTGCTGTATATAATCCTCTTGTATCTTCTCTTTCTAGGGCTCCATGGAGAATGAGGCTGTAGCCTTTGAGGAAACTCAGAAGACAGATCCTGCTGTAGAACCACGGTTCAAAGTTGTGGATTCTGACAAGGTACTTGGCATAGGACCGAGTTGGGTGATAACTGGGGCTGGCAGGGGTAAGAAGAGGGAGAGGGTGTGGGAGCCAAAAGTGGGGGTGGGCATGATGTGTGCCCAGAAGAGAAAGGGAAGGGGAGGCAGGTATACACAGCGCACTGGCAGGACCTGGGGTAGCAAACTCAGGCAGGGGCGTGAGGATGCCTCGTTGGCGGAAAGTTCAGAAAAATAGCAGACAAGGTCTCAGCATGGCACCAGATCCCAGACGCCCCTGGAGAAGAAGAACTCTCCCACCAGGACCCCTGAAGCTAAGAAGGGCCATGATGGGGTTGGCAGGCCCAGACATGCCCACTTTGACCAGGGCACAAGGTAGAGCTGCCCCTGGCACCTACGATCATCTGGAAGGGTCACTGGCCAGTGCAGGGCACAGGAGCCTGCTGAGTGCAGGCAGGAGACAGCGCTGAAGCCATCCTCCATGTTTGGGAGGAGCCAGAGGTACCTGAGTCTTAGAATAAATCTCTTTTGGCATCAATAGGCCAATGCCTTGCTGTGGCTGAGCAGACCCCATAGACTGTGAGGTGAGCCCAGGAGGAGCTAGGTGGTCACGGCAGAAAAGGAGTGTCACTCAGCAGCAGGGAAGAAGCAGCGTTGCCTGGGGTGACCTGGAGGGAACTGGGCATGGTGCTGTTTTATTCCTTCTTAGGAACAGACACAAATATGCATGTCCATAAACCCCTACCCTGTGTGCCCTTTGCCTAGGCCGGGCCTCGAAGGCACAGAAACAAACGGGACAGGCCCCTCCTTGCAGGAGCCCACAGCCTGGTGAAAGGGACAGTAACCTCTACCCACCACAGCCATAAACAGTTATTACTCCAGGAGGTGGCATGGGGCGCGTGCCCAAGGAACACAGGCGAGCAGAGTGGGGGTGGGGATCCCACAAAGCTGACCGTCTGCTGGGCCCCCTTGGCCCTGACCCCGGGAACACAGAGATGCCTCCTGTCACATGAGATCATGACCGCCTCATCCGCCCACGGCACAGACGCCTTGGGGATCCATCCACAGGCGGAGAAGTTATTCTGTGCCACGTCCTTTCCCGAGAGGTGCAAAATGCAGAGGAAGACAGAGGCTAGCCCGAGGAAAGGCTGCCTGGCCGTGCAGCCGGTGGGCTGGGATGTGGTTTCCAAGCCTCAACCCTGAGCTTGGGCCCTTGGCGCTGGCAGGGTCAGGACTTGAGCCTGGAACACGAGGAGTTCGGAGAGGAACAGGGAGGGTTTGAGAAATGATGAGAGCACCAGAGGTGGGCTGCAGCGTGTCCCAGCTCAGGCGAGAGTGGCCAGAGGATGGTATCAGAAGAAGCTGCAGAGAGAGGCCCTTGGGGCACCATCTGCGAGCGTGGCTTAGGGCTTGAATTCTGCAAAGAGCTAGCCAGGACTGAACAAACGTGGCAGCCATCAGGGTGGAGTGGCTGACCCCCCTGCCCTCCCCCCCCACCCCATCCCAGGCAGTCACTGCAGGAGGGAGGGGAGGATTAACCTGGGCTGTGCCACAGTCACCTGTGCTGCCACCAAGGCCACACCCAAGGGGAGGAGGGGCCCCTCGTCCCCCACGGCCAGCTCCCTGCTTGGCTCTGGGCCCGCCAACCAGGCAGCCCGACTCACCTCCCCACCTCTCTCATTCTCTCCCCACACCCTCTCTTCCTCCCCTTCCTTCTGTGTCCCTGTGCTGGGGCTGGGCCGCAGGAGGATGTGGAGGCCACTCTGGATGGAGCCCCCACATACCTGGGTGTGCATGGGAACTGCCCTTAGCACCCCGGAAAATCAGCACAGGGAGCGGGGCTTCCCTGGAGGGTGGAGGGTGCTTTTTTGCTTTTTTTTTTCTTTTCACTTTTGACTTTCCAAAAAAGGGTGTGGCCCCTGTCTCGTTGACCTCATGGGTGATCCCACTCCGTTAGCGGGAACAGAGATGCTGGGGTGCCAGCACTCCAGCCTGAGCCCTCCATCTGCTGCTGACCCAGGCAGGGGGGCTGGAGTGGGTCTTTTGGGTCGGTACGTGGAGGAGCTGGGAGAGAGGCCACAAAGGTGGCAGCTCTGTCTCAGCCGAGGGTCCCAGGCCTAGGTGGGTTTGCACACCTGCCCCCCGGGGCCTGAGGGTTTGATGGGGTTAACCCTTCTGGCTTTGCATCTAAGCTCAGTGCTGTGAGTGCTGCAGAGACTGGAGTCCTGCGCTCCCAGGGCCCTGTTTCTCAGCTCTAGAAGCTGGGGACAGAGTGGGCCATGCTGGGAAGAGTGAGGAGAGCCGGGGCAGAGGTAGAAGGATCTGGAAAGAGTGAGAACGGCTAGGAAGCAAACCCTGGTGCCCCGCCCTGCTCAGACGTGAGGGATGGTCTGACTTTCAGGTTCTGCATGGAATTTTACCAGAACAGTTTCTAAATCATCCCTTCAGTGGCCCAGCCAGGCAGGACCCAGGCTTCATTATGGGACGACAGACCAGGCTGTGGGTTCTCATCTTCCACATCCCTCCCTGTTTCTGGAACACAGCCAGGTGACGTGGCCAGAGCTGCCCGCCACCCTCAGCTCCTGGACATACCTGTCCCCTCAGTCCCACAGCCTCTTTTTGCCACTTCACCATGTCCTTTTCAGAGCCCTCCCTTGGAAGCCCTCTCCACCCTTCCCGCGCTGGGGACCAGCCTCCCTTTGGGGGAGTGGAGAGGTCGGGTGTGATTTGAGGGGGTTGCGGAAGTTCCCTGCCCAGACACTCAGCAGCGGAGTTAGCCCTGAATTCATACCTCTTGTACTGAGCCCTCACCGTGTGCCCGCTGCTTTAAATGTATTATCTGTTATCTGGTTTAATCCTGCTGACAATAGGGATAAGGATTATAATTATCCTGATCTAACTGATGTGGAAGAGCTTAAATCTCCCGCCCGAAGTCACTTCTGGGCACACCAGCAGCCCAGATGCAGCCCCCTGCCCTCCCCGGGTCCTAGAACCCTTCCACCCTGACAGCTGACCGTGAATAAGACCCTGAGGCCGATGACTAGGAGAGGGGTTGGCAGAGGGAGGGAGGAGGCTGAGCAGATACCAGCTGTGTCTCGCAAGCCAGCCACGCCCTCTTCCCCATCCTCCCTCGGGCTAAGCCGTATGCCGGCATAACCGGCTTCCTTCCAGCTCCCTGGGGCCGGTCAATGGGTGTGATCACCCGCTTCCTTCAAGAGACAGATAGGCCCATCCAGCAGGCATGTCAGCAGTCAGCTCCCCAAACTCCTTGTCCCACCCCCTGCCAGACAGAACACACACCACCCTGACACGAGGGTCCTCAGGGGCTGGCAATGCTGTTGATGTTGGCCATAGTGTTTTATCATTTAGGGCCTCCAGATAGTCACTGAGGACGAAGGGAAATAGCATCTGGATCAGCAAAGCAGGCCAGTGGGCTGGGCAGTGCCCTCTGCTTCCATGGGTCTTAGAGGACACCCTGGGAGAAGAGTGGGCAGGGAAGGCTGGGAGGTAAGAGATGCCACACAGCGCTCCAGTGATGGAGAAGGCCATTCCCTCCACCTTTTTAATTTTTTTAGAGACAGGGTCTCACTGTCACCCAGGCTGGAGTATGGTGGCAAGATTACAGCTCACTGCGGCCTCAACTTCCCAGGCTCAAGCCATCCTCCCACCTCAGCTTCCTAAGTAGCTGGGACTACAGGCGCATACCACCATGCCTGGCTAATTTTCTTAAAATTTTTTGTAGAGATAGGGTCCTGCCCTGTTGCCCAGGCTGGTCTCAAACTCCCAGCCTCAGTGATCCTTCTACCTTGGCCTCCCGAGGTGCCGGGATTGCAGCCCTGCATCTTATGGTTAGTGGTATTACCTGCAGGATCTGGTGGAGTGTACTACGGGATATCAGAAAGTGTGCTGCCAGGGAAAGACCACCCTACCTGGCTTTGGGGTGGGGCCCCTGGGCAGGCCCCTTTTGCTGGCCGTCAGCCCTAAGGGCAGAGATCATGCCTGCTCTCTGCCAGTGCTCAAGCTGTCTTTCCTCCCTCCCTGTGTCTCTGGCATCTTTGCTCCCTATCCACTCTCAGCTGCCTAAATCCTCGTGGGATGAGTCTGAGGCCACCTCCCTGGCCTCACATCCCCTGGGTGACAGGATGGTCATAGGCCTCCGGGGGAGGAGGCAAGTGATCAGAGCCGCCTCTGTGGACTTAAGCTTGTCCCAGTTAGACTGCACAGGACTTTGCAGCCAGTGCAGCAAAGCCACCAGGAGCCCACCTCGCCGTTCCCACTGACGCCATTGGGCTTCCTCACAGCATCTATGCTGGGAAGTCACAGCTGTGGGGGTCTGATCTGGCTGCCAGGAGGCCTCCTGGTCAAGCCTGTGCTGTGAACGGGGCACTCAGTCCAGACCCTGCCACAGTGCATGGCCGAACACCTGACCCTGCCTTGTCATCTGTCAAAGGAGGTCATCATCAGCCCCACCTCGCAGAATTAAGGCTCATGAAGAGAAGGACAGGGGATGTGAGGCCTGAGCCTGGCTGGCCGGTGACGAGGGTGCAGACAATAGGCCCTGATTCTGTCGGGGCTCCTCAGCCCACTCCCCGCCCTCGGCCCAACTGCCTGAAAGCACATCCTCCGCCTCTCTGCTCAGAAAGCTGCCCTGGAGCCATGTGACCTGGCTTTGGGGGGACATTTCTTTAAACAACTGCCTTAGCTCATGGCTGATGGGGTGGGCAGCTCGGCTGACACCAAGCAGCTACCCCACCCTCTCCCCCCACCCTCACATTTGCCACCCTGGGGAAAAGCAGATTCTGGGTACACTATTCCCCAAGAAAGTGTCCTATGATACCTGGCTCTGTGCTGCTCAGAAGGGGAGGTCCTGGGGAGGAGAAGGAGGAAAGCAGGGAAGGCCCTCGCCTACCCAGGCACCGCACCCTTCCGCCCACCCTCTGGGCAGCAGGCTGCCCTTTCCCCCTGCCCCTGCTACTGCAGGCCACATTCCTGGCATAGCCTGGGAGAGGCCCTCCCCTTCTC